TGCGTCGTCTGCGGCCGTTACGGCGAGTACATCTGCGACGAGACGGACGAAGACGTGTGCAGCTTGGAGTGCAAAGCCAAACATCTCCTGCAGGTGAAGGAACAGGAAGAGAGGTCGGCGCTCAGCGGCCCCCCGGGCGCCGGCTCGCAGCCGCAGGACCCGCTCCTGACGCCCTACGTCTACCAGGAGCACCCCTTCATCGCCAGCCTCGGGGAGGACCAGGTCGAGAACCTCAGGCGCCAGCTGGGCATCTGCGTCCAGGGGCGGGCTGTCGCCAGGCCCATCGTGGACTTCGAGCACTGCGGCTTCCCCGAGACCTTGAACCTCAACCTGACGGCGGCCGGCTATGAGGTGCCCACCCCCATCCAGATGCAGATGACTCCCGTGGGGCTCCTGGGGCGGGACATCCTGGCCAGCGCGGACACAGGCTCGGGGAAGACGGCCGCCTTCCTCCTGCCCGTCATCATGCGCGCCCTGCTCGAGGTGAGTTCAGGTTCACCCGGAACACGGGGGGGCCTCCACCCACCTCCGCGCTCACCTGGGTTCAAGTTGCGCAGCGACCTGAGTCTTTAGCGTTGAGGCGTGTGTCTGAGAAACGTAACTCGAGGGAATTTTTAAAAATGTATATCTTTTTATTGGTTTCAGAGAGGAAGGGAGAGGGAGAAGGAGAGAGAGATAGAAACTTCAATGATGAGAGAGAATCGTTGAACTCTTCCTCTCTGAAATCAATAAAAAAATTATATATATTTAAGCTCTCGCCGGTTTGGCTCAGTGGATGTTTGTGTTTCTATGTGTGTGAGAGAGAGAGAGAGAGAGAGAGAGAGAGAGGGAAACATAAACTTGTTCCCCCGCTGATGCATTCATTCATTGGTTGATTCTTGTTTGTGCTCTGACCGGGATGGAGCCCGCAGCCCTGGTGTCTGGGGGGGCTCTAACGGCCTGGGCTGCCCGGCCAGGGCTCCTGCTGCCGCTTTAAGCCCGTTGCTACTTCCCCGCTGGGATGAGCACCTTCACATGTTCTTAAGCTGCCCACCTGCGTATGGTTGCTTCCTTAGTGGCTTTCTGTCCCTTTCCAGTCGCTTCTTTCTTTTTGCCACAATCCGCGCACCGCTCAGCGCGTTGGCAGCTGTGAGTGACCCACGATGGCAGGTCCAAGGAGGGTCCCTCGGCTTCAGGAACAGGCGGGCGGCCGTGTCCTCACAGCTCCCCTCCCGCAGGCTCCCCTCGGGGCAAGTCCCAGGGGACTGACGCTGCGTCACTTGAACCCCCTTTTGCCACAGACGGAGCTGGTATGAAAAAATATCCTCAGATGAGGATTAAAAAAATTTATATATCTATATATATACGGCCACCAGAGCGAGATGACACTTTTACCTATAGAGCACCAAACAATGACAGCAGATTTCTGCCGATTAGAAGTCATGGAGGCCATGCCATTGTTCAAGTGCTGCCAGGGAGGAACAGTCAAACTGGAATTACCCAGTGGAGACGTTCTTCAGTAACGATGAGGTAACCAAGACGTTTTCAGAAGGAAAACGAGAGGCACCCGTCACCAGCCTGCCAGTCCTGAAGGAGTGGCTAAAGGAAGTTCTCGAAAAAGAAAGGCAACCGTGAGAGAGAGAATCTGGGACCACCAGTGAGGAACAAAGAACAGTAAAAAAGAGTAAAATAGGGGTAAACGTAATACTTTTCCTCTTGAGTTATCTACGTCATGTTGTATGGTGAAAGCAGCAAGTCTAGCAAAATCCTATGTAATAACGAGCTAATACGCTAATTAGACCGGACGGCGGTGGAACGACCTTCCGGAACGACCAGTGGGCGGAGCCGCGAGGCAGCTGGGGCTGCGAGGGACGAGCTCCTTGCACGCATTTCGTGCATCGGGCCTCTGGTCTACACACACACACACACACGTATGTATTTTTTTAAAGAATTTAGTTCATATCCAAAGGGATAGACTGCTGGTGTCTCTAGGTCTGTTTTCCGTCTCTGCAGGGCACGTGTCCGTCCGCGCTCATCCTCACCCCAACGAGAGAGCTGGCCATTCAGATAGAGAGACAAGCCAAAGAGCTGATGAAGGGCCTGCCGCGCATGAAGACCGTGCTGCTGGTGGGGGGCCTGCCCTTGCCCCCCCAGCTGCACCGGCTGCGGCAGCACGTCAAGGTGAGCGGCCCAACCCGCGGGCGTCCTTGAACGGCCGTATGGCCCGGGCGTTTCCTTCCTGGAGAAAGCGTGGCGTGTGACCCTCGGTGGCCTTTGTTTTCTCGCCTCGTCAGCGTGGGTGTTTCTGAAGTTGGTTCCCTGTGGGAAAGGGGAGGGGCACGTTCCTGGAGGCGCACTGCTCGCTGTGACTGTCGGACGCTCACACAGGCGGCTCGTTGAACCGCCGCACGTGTGTGTGCCCTGACCTGGTATCGAACCCGCGGCCTCTTGGTACACGGGTTGATGCCCAACCACTGACCCACACCGGCCGGGCTCCTCACATGGATTTTTTAATTTGCTTTTCCCCTTTCACCCAGGTCGTCATAGCAACCCCGGGCCGCCTCCTGGACATCATGAAGCAGAGCTCCGTCCAGCTCCGCGGCGTGAAGATAGCGGTTGTGGATGAAGTGAGTGACCGGGAACATGGGTTGTGCGGCGCTCTGTAGTTGGTGGGCTCTCTCTTTAAATGTGTTTTCATGGATGTCAGAGAGGAAGGGAGAGGGAGGGAGAGATGGAAACATCCATGATGAGAGAGAATCATGGATCGGCTGCCTCCTGCACGCCCCACACTAGGGATGGAGCCCACAATCCGGGCCTGTGCCCTGATTGGGAATCGAACCCTGACCTCCTGGTTCATAGGTCAGCGCACAACCACTGAGCCACACCGGCCGGGCTGGCATCTTTTCTTAAACTCGTCCCGTGCGGACCGCGGCTAAGCTGGGGCATGGGTGTGAAATCGCACCCAAGGCCTCCGTTTCCAATGGGCAGAAAACAAATGCAGCCGCACTGTCGCCCACACCTCCCACTCCGTTTACCTGCGACTGTGTCCGCGTTGTGCAACATGGTTACACAGTGTCTACTTTCATATAAACATGTCTTTTTTCCCAGTGGATCCGTCCTGTTTTGACAGGGTGGCAGCTGTTTCTGGGTCAGGGTTTTTCTTTGGTTACCGGAGTCTTTTCTTGGGTGGCCCTGGGTCTTAACGTCAAATCGGGCTCATGTTGAAATGATGTTTCAGCCCGGCCGGCGTGGCTCAGAGGTTGAGCGTCGACCTCTGAACCGGGAGATCACAGTTCGATTCCTGATCAAGGGCACAGGCCTGGGGTGTGGGCTCGATACCCAATAGGGGGCGTGCAGGAGGCGGGCGATCCCTGATTCTCCCTCATCATGGATGTCTCTCTCTCTCTCTCTCTCTCTCTTCCATCCTCTCTGAAATCAATAAAAATATATTTAAAAAAT